GGGGGGGGGGGGATCTTCAATGCGAGTGAGAGACGAAGAGAAGTAAGAAAAAAAAATAAAGAATGCAGGACGAAAAAAGAAAAAGGAAAAAAGAAAAAAGAAAATGTCGAAGCGGAAGGAAGAGACGACGGAACGAAGAGAGTGTCTCATTGAAAGGCCAGACACGTAGGCGCTCTGGCCATACGTGTGGAGCTTCCGACAATGGCGTTCGGTACGAGCCTCCTATTTTCAGTGAGGAGGCTGCGATTCTTCGGATTGCATACTCTGGACCGAGAGGATCGCGGATGTCCTATTGGGTTGGAATAGACGGATGCTCCTGTAGCCGCGCAGTGTATATGGGCCAGGAGCGTGTTACGCGGTCGGCGCGAGGTGGGAGGCAGGAATACGTCCACCCGGTATATGTAGTCTCGACAGCTGATTCGTTTTGACGTCAGGGAAGAGTTTTCGTCGGTAAAACAGTTTTTCGTCCTGACGATATTTACTAAGGCGGAAACCCCGGCGTAAAGGTAGCATAGGGTATAGTTGTAGTAATTTGCTCCAGGTACAGGAGCGATCGTAATCCTTTTGACCCGAGTTTGCGCTACCGGGTGTGTATCCTTGTACGGGAGTAGATTGGGCCATAAGGCTACTCGCCGCGAGCTGCGCCCATTGTACCGGGTAGTTGGTTAGGTTGCCGAAACTTTGCCAATTAGCACGGGACACGAATGACCGGGGCTTAATGATTGCGCCTGTCAATGGCGTCGCTCAGGTGGGTTCGTACAATGATTCTAGTCCGCGATCGGGATCGTTAGTACGTCTGGCTGACTTTGTTGGTTATGTCGGGCGTCTCACACGTAGTACTACGCGTCCGCGTCCGAACGAGCTCGGCGAACTTCGGAGTTTGCTCGCATCGCGGCGCCACCGGCGCAACTGGACCGGCACTGCTTCCAGCTTCCAGCTTCCAGTTTGCCAGTTTCTCGGTATGAGCTTTACGCTTCGCTCCAGTAATCCAGAAACGCTCTCGCAACTCCGCGATACACGAGCGAAGAGGAACGGCCGATTTGTGCCAAACGGATAAGGGGCTTTTCACGTCGATTCGAAAAGCTCACACTGTGTCCAGCGGAGTTCGATACCCGGATGGGTTAGCGGCAGCGGCAGGTCGCGGGGGGCGCTTTTCTCTTGAACGAGAGAAATCCGAGAACGACTGTTGTATTACGCTCGACCAATCATACGCCTGGAATGCGCGCAGATGGGTTCTTTGTCGTGATTTTATTTATTTATTTTTTTTTTCAAAGGAGGTCGCGAAAAATTGGCGAAATTGGCAAAAGGGAGTTTCGTGGTCGCGTGCTGCTGATAAAACGCCTGCGGTATAGGGGTGGAATCCTCTATCGCAGTTTTACCCTGTAATTTGTCTCCTCTATCGAGCTGAAGAATTTAAGAGGCAGACGCTGCGAGGGTGGATCACCCCTCCCCGTCCTGCCCCCTCCTGCCCCCTCCTGCCCC